CCCCAAAAGGAGGGAATGGAAACCACATAGGTAGAGGGGCCAGCCATCCAGCAGAAAAGGATGGAGCAGATCAGAGGGGACGGGCCCTTCGCTGCCACCTCGAAGCTGGTCACTGCCCCAGCATCCTCCACTGAGTAACACTGCACAGGTCAGACATAGTGGGTCTGCCCCGGTACACGTGTCTGCTTTGTCACACCTCATGCTGCCGGGACAGCTGGGCATGCTCTGACCAGCAAGAGGTGGCAGCGCCATGGGGGCTGTAGCAGAGAGCAAGGTGCTGGAAAATGCCTCCCCACACCCCACCACTGGCCCAGGAGGGGACCTGGACAGGAAGGTCAGGCCCAGTGTGAACCCCATCCCCCAGGGCCCCAAAGGCAGGAAGACAAAGGGACAAGGCCCCCCCTCTGGCTCTATTAATTGCTTGTTAAGCTTGACCCCCACAGGGCTGGCCCAGCCAGACAGCTACCACTGTCCTCCAGGGTGCATCGGCAAGGCCCCTCCCTCCCGCCATGCCTGACCCTTCCTACCTTCCTCCTTACCCATCTCCCCTACCTTTGCTCAGGGGGCTGGGCTGGACACCAGTGTCTGAGATGCAAGTCCAGGGCTGTTGGCTGGAGCACAGTAGAGGTTAACCTTGGGTCCAGGCTCTCCCACTTACTAGCTGTGTGACCTTGAGCAAGTTACCTCACCTCTGAGCCTCAGTCTCCCCATCTGTTAAACAGGATGGCTACCGGGCAGAGCTGCTGTCATGGTTGAACGAGACACAGTGTTGTTGAAATGGACAAGATGAGAGGAGTTGGGAGATAGAGAGGGTGGAGTGAGAAATCGAGGCCGTGCCTGACAGTAAAATGCCAAGGACCCATTCATCTCACAAATGCTGCTGAGCACCAACAACTATGTACAGAGCGTTGTGAGGTGGGGGTGCCATGAAAAGCCAGGAGATTATCCCTGCCCTGAGGAACAGGCACACACAGCACCAGCTGTGACTTGGAGTGGTTGGTGTGCATGGGGGCAGACTCTGCCTGGGGCGTGGAGGAGGGCTTCCCTGAGGCAGTGACACTTGAGATGGGAAAGAGCCAGGGGAAGGATGTTCTGGATGGTGGGGCACCCTGAGGTGAGGTTACCCTGGCTACCTGGGGAACAGAAGGAAAGGCTGTGTGCTTGGAGGCCCGGGAAAGGGGAAAGGTGGGAGGAGATTAGGACCGAGAAGTAGGCAGGGACTTTGGAGGCCAAGGTAAGGAGTTTGGAATTTAGGGATAATGGGAAGCTATTGAAAGAGTTTAAACAGGGAGAGTTATTGTGTGCATTAAGATTAGGTTTGACTGTGAATATCTGAGACCTAGAAAATAGTGATTTAAATGAGGTATAAGTTTAATTTCAATGTAAAAAAAAAAAAAAGTCGGGCTTCCCTGGTGGCGCAGTGGTTGAGAGTCCGCCTGCCGATGCAGGGGACGCGGG